GGCACAGAAAATCGAGGATTTAACGGAATCCAAAAATTTTTTCGCAGAACTATTTCAAATAATAAGTAGATTCGTTCTAGCGAAAAAAAATTTGGGGGTTAGGTGCACTTTAACATGCACCAATTCTCAAGGAGGCAAGGATGAAAAAATAATCCTGTATATTTGCCAAAATGAGACTTGAGGATGACATTTGAGCAATGTTGACATAACATGCAGAATGCCTGCATTCAACCTGCACAAAGAGCTCCTTGCAGAACAGGTTTGACTGCGCAGATTCCAGCTTCTGTTGCCAGGATGGGATGACTGTTGGCATGTTGTCATAGCAACCACTTATTAAACCTAACAGAAACACAATTTAATTAACAGTTTGATCCTCCAAAGGAAAACAGGTAAAACAACATGACTAAATTTTAATTCTTAAGAATCGCATGTATCATAATATAATAGTGATGCACTGAGCTTTTTCAATTTTGTAAACTCAAGGTTTTAAGACATTATAATTACAACTTTTCAAAATTTCCTCTATACATGTACTTAACAGTTGAAAACAACAATTACATTAGAGCCAGCGTTTTCACCTGAGTGATGATTACCACCTTCATAAACATTTGTTGGTGTTAAGATACATTTTCAGTCAATAAGTACAGTCAGTTATTTATTTCACTCAACAATTAGATTATGAGTTCAAGATTTCTATCACATGATAATTGGTGAGGGCACAGCCCAAGTCAACTACCACGCATACAAATCGAGAACAAATACAGTTTAACCTTAAATTTTTTTTCAGTATAAATCTACTATTCAACTAGCAAATATCTTAAGCTTCTCTACAGACACTCCGAAAATGCAAAGAAGTGTCCGCCATTTTGTAACAACTGCACAAAATAATATGCTAGGCTACTCACTGTCTACAACAGAATAGATAGTGAGTAGTACAGCCACTAAGAGAACAGAATCCTTGACAGAATGTTTGTAGATGTGTACAATAACAACATGTATATAGCCTGTCTATAGCACATCACTTTATTGTAGATTGTGGTTTTTAACAAAAATTGTACATGAAGCTGGATGTCTTATACTTGGACTTTTGAAATATAATTTAAACAGTTTGTACCTCTAACAGTGGCAATTTCTAGCTCTTTTCCAGACTGAACAATAGCAACTCTGATCTCTGCTGTTCCCTCCAAATCACTCCCTACAGCCACCTCAAGTGCTCTGTTATCTTCAGTGGATTGCTCAGTCCTTTCTTCAGCTCTTGCTGCTTTTGTGACTTCAAATAAACCTGGATTTCTAAACTGGAAACCAGCTGGTGAGAGGGATGGCATTTAAATCATGTACAATGCTTTCAACATTACCATACACGTATGCAAATTTGCTCAATGTCAATGGGTGAAATCATCAGCTTCTTTAGACTTGTCAAGAAAGGCTTATCATTAGACAGGCATGCAAATATTGAACCCTAGTATGATCAATATGTTATTTCTCCTGACTGTATAAATACATTGTGAAGAAGACAGGTGGTGAGAATAAAAGAATCATCAGCTAATGGTAGGAGATGTTGTCTTGATGTAATATAAAATTCTCAAAACTAAATGTTTACGAAAGGAAATTTTGTATTGAAATCAATGAGGAAAATTAACACGAATGGAAGCTTGGGATCTATTACTTAACTGGACCTTACATCAGACTTTTTATTACCTTTATATTAACTTCAATCTACATGAACACATTTGTACATACTGTAAATGTTTTCCACCTAAGCTGTGAATTTTTGTTAAACTCGGTATAAATTTAACAAGATCACTCTGTGTCAGTTTAAATTTGTTGGTGTGATATAATCATAACATTTCAATAATTGAAATGACACAAGGATGTCATTTTCATCAATAACCGTTCATTAACCATTTTACATGTTTTTTACCTGAGCAGTATGTCAAATTTCCAACAATGGATGCCCCTGTTCTTTTTAACCTGACCATCTTTTCCGCAGCAACATAAGCTCAGAGTGAAAATCTTTCGCATTGCTTCCCTGGCTTGAGTTTTGATCAGCTCTTTCTCTCACGGCATCTTCCATTCTCTGTGCTCCTCGCAGCAGAATATCTGCGGCATTGGTTAGACTCTACAAGAATAAGGCACAACATGCTTGAGCCTCATAGATGCAATCATTGTACACCTTATCTGATCAAAACACTGTGAAGCCATATCTAAATGAAAAAACAGGTCTTGGAGTTATGTCGTGGATGGTATATCTTAACCAGAATAGATAAGTTTAAAGTAAGTTAAGTCTGCATACGAGCCAAGTGGCCCATCAGGCCAGGCGAGAATGTATCCCAGTTTCTGTAACATGAAGTGACTAGGAGTATTTCTACTCCCCCCTGGATGGGATACTAGTCCATTGCAGGGTACCCCCAGCATTAAGTTTGCCGGAACCCCTTTATACACCTGGGTAGAAAGAGGACCTTCATATCTGTTTTCAGTTTTACTTTTGATTCTTGATGTAATGAGAAAGAAACAGGATAATTATTCTTATGTTTAAATTCATGAAAGCCAATGTAATAAACCATTCATTTAAAACCTGTTTGATGTGATATCAGTGACTTTATTTGTTATTTTAATGCTGGGCATTAATCATCAAAATTTTGTCTGACCTACAAATGATACAAAATTGCCAGTTTTTCTCAGATTTTCCAATAAATTCCGACCTATTCTCAAAAAATCCTACAAATTCCAAGTTATTCTCAGAAATTCCTAGGAATTTTTGAGAATTTTAAGGAATTTTCAAGGTGAGTATATTTCAGTTGGAATTCCTAGGAATACCGAGTCCGAATTACCGTGAAAATTCACACCTTAGATTCCAAGGAATTCCTAGGAATTCTTAGGAATTCTTAGGAATTCCTAGGAATTTTTTCCTTTTCTTAAAGTTATCTCACAAGGGAATTATGCTAGGCTACTCAACTGTCTACAACAGAATATGTAGTGAGTAGTACAGCTACTAAGATAACAGTATTCTTGATAGAATACTTGTAGATGTATACAATAATAACATGTATATAGCCTGGCTATAGCACATCGCTTTATTGTAGATTGTGGTTTTAACACAAATTGTACATCAAGTTGGATGTCTGTACTTGGAATTTTGAAATATAGTTAACAGCTCTTACCTCTAACAGTGGCAATTTCTAGCTGTTTTTCAGACTGAACAATAGCAATTTCTGATTTCTGCTGTCCCCTCCAAATCACTTCCTACAGCCACCTCAAGTGCTCTGTTATCTTCAGTGGATTGCTCAGTTCTAATTCTTCAGCTCTTGCTGCTTTTGTGACTTCAAATAAACCTGGATTTCTAAACTGGGAACCAGCTGGTGAGAGGGATGGCATTTAAATCATGTACAATGCTTTCCACATTACCATACATGTATGCAAATTTGCTAAATGTCAATGGGTGAAATCATCACCTTCTTTAGACTGGTCAAGAAAGGCTTATCATGCGATCATTAGACAGGCATGAAAATATTGAACCCTAGAGTGATCAGTATATTATTTCTCCTGACAGTATAAATGCATTGTGCAGAAGACAGGTTGTGAGAATAGAGGAATCATCAACTTATGGCAGGAGATGTTGTCTTGATGTAATATAAAATTCTCAAAACTAGATGTTTATGAAAGGAAATTTTGTATTGAAATCAACAAGGAGAATTATAAACACCAATGGAAGCTTGGGATCTGTTACTTAACTGGACTTCACAGTAGACTTTTTTGTTACCTTTATATTGACTTCAATCTACATGAACACATCTGTACGTACTGTAAATGTTTACCAGCTATACATGTAATTAAAAACCTAAGCTGTGAACTTTTGTTAAACTCTGTATAAATTTAACAAGATCACTCTGTATCAGTTTAAATTAATTGGTGTGATACAGTCATAACATTTCAATAATTGAAATGACACAAGGATGTCTATGGCAAGCCGTTTGTAACAAAATTTAATCCTTACAATATATGTTTAATCCTTTAAATAACGGTTTTATTTAAAGATAGAAAAAGGCATTCA